AATGAATGACTTGATTCCTTCATTGATAAAAAAATGTAGTCTCTCATTCATTATAGTGATTCTGACACACAAATGATACCACAAGAATTACAGTGTTGGAGACAAAAATATAATCACCATTCACAGATAGAAAGTCTGATCAAGTTGTGAGGCATGATTTTAATTTGCACTTTTCCCGGTGATAAGTGTTATGTATCAGTGATTTTGTTTGTTTACTATTGCATGCGATGGTAATATTAAATAATTAGATGCAGAATTCTCCCTTATGGTCCACTGCAAAGAAGTTTAGACTTAACTTAGAGATTTTAAGTTACTAAATTTCATACCCTAGTTACTGGTAACTAGGTACATACAGTTGGAATTTCCCATAATGCATCTCACATTAGGTCGGCAGGGTCAAAAGTCAAAGTGCAAAGGTTACAGTTCATGCGATTAAGAAACGTTTCCCCTGTTTTGTGTTCTCCAGTTATTTTTTATTGTCGATGATATGATGATGATACCATAAGGTTTTTATTTTGGTGATGGCTGCGTTAGCTAGTCTGGTTACCACACCTATTTTAGCTCCTGAGTCCTACATCCTCTGTAAAATAGGTTTGGTAACCAGGCTAGCGTTAGCTTCAAAATCTGTCAAAACACTGTTTAATATACTTTGAAAAAAATATTTTCTGGGTACAGGAATGTGATGTAAGAATGTATTCTCTCTCTGACTAAAATTATTATTGTTTCTCTCCACCAATTCTTGACAGACTCTTATTGTACATAGCAAGGCAGAAAATCTATTTTTAGGTCGGAAAAATTTCGGCTACAAGCACGCCACTAGGTACTGTGTTGCTGCTGCCTACATGTTCAAGTTTATTCACTGCCAAGTGTGCTACACTCTATTGTATTAAAGTGTACACCAGACTCCTTTGCAGGCTGAATAAATAGTAGAAATTGGCCTAAAAGAATGCAACTGGCCAGGGGAGTTAGCTGGCCATAGAGGGTCCAATTTGCCTCAATGCAGGTGTACTGGACCCTCTACGGCCAGCTAACTCACTTGGCCAGTTACATTCTTTTAGGCCGATTTCTACTATTCATTCAGCCTGCAATGGAGTCTGGTGGAGACTTAATCATATTAGTCCTGGGCCAATTATGTATCTGTCCCATTCTTCTGTATATATGCCTTGAAACTAGCTGATGTACAATGTTTATATTGTCTCTGTATACTGTTATAACCCTATTGTTGCTTTTCATCCTACATGTAGAATGACTTGACAGTTTTGAAGAACTGTTATTATTTGTTGTGACCTTTTATAAATATGATTTAGGTACTGTACAA